GGGGGAGGATGGTGTAACCGCAGACTGACAGAATGGTCGACTTGCTATGATGAGTCAATTTTAAAGTATCCTATTATATAAAGTATCCTCATATCAAATAGTATAAAAACGCTTTCTTGTCGTCAGATATGCAAATGATGATAAGTGGTTTATTGGTCAACAATACCCGTGAAATCGCAGCCTTTTATAGCGCTGAATTGATGCAGGGTTTACAATCACATAATACACATGATACACATATTTGCTCCACACACACTTTTATGAAACTGTCGCAAGGGTCTGTGCGGCTGCCATTTGCACCACTAGGTGATGTCGACCTCAATACGACTTTCCCCAACCGAAGTTAGGTACCCATTCACACCTGGAATATAAAATTTTAAAAATCTATAAAAACAAGGGTTTTGTCTAAGATAAACTGAAAACTTGGTATAACAGGTAAAACGCTGTCTACGCACGTGAGTTGGACAGCCCAGTTTGGAAGCTAGGTCCTCTGCGTAGTCTGCTACTCGGTACGGCGGAAGTAGAACGGCGAAGGGGCTGAGCGCAACGCCGCTCATGGCGATCACACGGTGAAACAGGCCTGAGGAGAAGGGCAAAAATAACATATACTTAGTACATCACAACAAAACCAAAAAACGATCGAAGGAAAATGGATAGCCAAATCTCCTAACAGTATTGAGGTAAATGGGAGAATGAGAGATTTAAGAACGGTTGCGCTTTGAATGATGTTATGTGTCGAATCGTTTGAGGCGCAGTACAAATGGATTGGGCAGTTGAAAAACAGGAGTTTGTTTCAAGACCTTATGAGAGATTTCGGGCACATAATGACGTTGTTACACAATATGATGTATAGGTCATTCAATGGTAACGGGCAAAAGTTGTATGCGTATCTAGGCTCCCCAAGGCTCATCCCACTTCTGACACCATGTTGCTTTGTACGTTGTTTGGTCACGATATAACATATTCACTGCATTTGAACTGCTTTATTGTAAGTAGGGTTAACGTTACATGAAGTAACGTACAAAGTGTGTTTGCTCAATGCAGGCCAGATGGCAAAGAGATGGACTCTCCATACGTCTGTTCCTTTGGAGCCTTGCTATTGAATATTCATGGCTATACTAATACACAGGGTACAGGGGGTGCTAGCTTCTAATTCTTACTTCGTGTAACAGACATGTACATTATCATGTAAGCCATGCTCCATATGTATACATGTTCTATATTACCTTTTTGAAATAGTATAATGTTATTTCGACACATGAAACTTGTAGGTATCACTATAGATGTAAGAGTAGATGCTAGCTAGATATGTAGTACTGAAAAGTTTGCCATGCATTGTACCCGTTACAATTGTTGTGCAATAAAGATTGACTTGACTTGACTTGACTTGTAACACCCCACCCCCCTTTCCGGTCAGTGATAAACCCATGTTTGGTGTAAGGCCACACCAAGTAAATTTTATGGATGACGTCCGCGCGCGCATTGATTTTGGCCTGTTCCTAGAAAAAAACCCAAGAAATTCCGCTTCCTGTAAACTATGACCAAAGTGTGACGACAGTGCCGCAATTTTATGCTTTGTTTCTGCAGGCCTGCAAAAATGTGATGAAAGAAACAGGACAGGACGACAACTGCTGTTCCACCTGATTTATTGCTGTTTTGATGATGAATAAAAGACTTCTTGCTTGTTACACTGTGTCACCTCATTCAATTTGTGTCCTAACATTTGTCGTCTCTTAGTATATTTCTAATCTAGGCATCTTGTTTTTTTAGGGCCCTTCTTGCTTTTTTTCGCCCTCTCGCATTAGATTTAGGGTCTCCAAAGGACGTCATCCATAAAATTTACTTGGTGTGGCCTAATATCAAATGCAAATATACTGCTGGCTGTACAATTTAGGGTAAAGATCAAGGGCTGTAACTGATTGGTAGAAAATGTGCAGTGACCTTCGCTCCTTGGTAAGAACATGTGGAGTGACACGCTGGACCCTCCCGCGCTCTGCCCAAATATGGTCACCAGGTCAGGGTCGCCTCCGAATGCCCGGATGTTGGTGCGGACCCATCTCATAGCCTCGATCTGGTCCAGCAAACCGTTGTTTCCGGGTGCGTGTTCGTCTCCGGTGCTCAGCCAGCCTGGGGGATATACAGTGTTTGTCATGTAAAGCACATAGTTGCTATCACTTCTGTTAGTGCTACAAACATATAAGAGATATTCAGAGCAACGTTAACGTTACACATTATGATTATATAGACTTCTTTACACGCAATTGCACATGCACAAGTATTGTCATCTATTGCTAAGCAACAAACATACTAAGAGACTAATATATCTTACAAAACTATGAAGTATGGGTTGAAAATTTGCTTTTGATATCAGTTTCTAGCGTTCAGTCAGCTTTGAGATATTGTACTGTAAATACATTGCTTTATATTAGATGTTTTAGTGTTTTGGGCAAATAATAGTATGCTTTCCAACTGAAGCGACGCGTGCAGAGTAAGTCGCACGATCGTCGTACTCATATTCGCATCAGTCTATAGGGATAGTCACACATGTGTCTTGCATGCAAAATTCGGCTTGTAACTGTCTTTAATAAATGACCTTGTCGGCAGTTGCTTATTCATGACCTTCTTGAAAATCTTACGACATCAAAAAATACGACGACCTACGTCGAGTGTTAAGGCACCGTCACTATCCCCCTCCCCTGCCTGCTTACCTAGCGCCCCTATCCGGTAGTTGATGGAGACCAGGACCACGCCTCTACTGGCCAGGAACACGCCCTCGTACTCCTTACCGGAACCGAACCGGTACGCACCACCGTGGATCCAGATCATTACCGGTAGGGGGGCAGCTGAATTGTTGGCCTGAGAAACAAAATCAAATTTGGATCATCTTAAACTGTGTTCTCGATGTTGAAGCAGGATAAGCAGACACCAGAAAAAGAATAGCACTGCCAATGCATTCAAACACGCTGCAAACTACTCTCCAAGCAGAGGTTGTGGGGGAATGATCGTTAGCTTGTTATATATGGCCGTTTTTTTGTCGCTACCCCCACCGTCGGTGGCCGGCGACCTTCTCTGGCTAATGGATACTGTCTTGCCACCAAAAGGGGATCTGCTTGGAGATTAGCTGCAAACGTCGCTGTACTTTTGTCAACAAACTTCTTCACAAGGTTTGATAAGACACCCGGACCTGAGGAGTATAGATATCCAAATACAGACAGTCTTCAGACGTGTTGTTGGCTTCTTCAGGTACGATGGACAGCACGTAATCCGCGTACTGAGGACAGGCTGGGCCGTAGGCTGTCGCGTTCCTCACGTCTGTCCAGGGTTCCACCGGCTCGGGGGGCAGAAACCGGCGGTCTCCCGTCGGGGGCTTCGCGAAGGGAACCCCGAGGAAAATGTCGAGGGTAGTACCGCTATCCGCAGCGACTCTCATCCCCCTCAGGTCTCCGCTCTGTGTGGTTACTGTGATTTCTTCTCCGCGTGAAGGGAGAATCAGGCACATTAATGCCAGAAGCGACGCAAGGTAGACAGAGGACGCCATAGCCGCCAGCTAGTTACCAGTTGTATAACACATGCAAACAAAGGCAACATGAATAAATTCGTAAATCATACGACACTGCAAACACTTTAAGAGCGTTTATCTCAGTATGTTCAAAGGTTATACGGTGTGGTCGTGTGGCGTAGCGGCAGAGTGCGCGACTCGGAACCTAGAGGTCCCGGGTTCGAGTCCTGACATGCCATCGATCTTGTGCCCTTGGGAAAGGCACTTTACACGACTTTCCTCACGTAGCTCAGGTGTAAATGAGTATTGTCCTGTCATTTATTTGTCCCCTGTGTTGGCGGCGGCATTAATATGAAAAGTTGAAAAAACTTAAAAGTGTGTCGTCACCACGTCTGGTGATGTTGGAATAAAAAAAGGTTACACGCGTCGGTAGCAAATATAGACCAGTTTAAGAGGCAAGGCCCCCTACAATATCGTTTATAAAGTATGACAATTGCAAAAAAAAATAGTGACCCTAAAATACTGAAAACCACCAGGAACATGCACTTACGCGGATCATGCACTAAGCAGAGATCTAACCAAGGATAAGTACAATGTCACATGTCGTTCATATTGCTATTCAATCAATTCGGAGTGGTCACCCGATACCTCTTTTCCAGGTGATTTCAAAGAGCTAGGGGGCCAGTATGCCACACACCATCGAAGGGACAAAAGTATGGAAAGACCGTCAGAAGACATTCTGTGCTGGCTTCTATGGCTTTTGATATGGTATAGGTAAGATAAAAAAACTACCAAACCGTGGAATCAGCTCTAATATACCCGAATTACAAGGCTTTTGTGTTAATCGCATGGTGACAGAAATATCGTCGAAAGTCTAATCTTTTGATGATAACAACAGGAGACAGGTGTAAAAGTAGAATATAACCGGTATATAATGTTGTATTTTGTGTCATTGGTACAACAAACACTGGTACTACAAGCACGTACTACTGCCGCTTGAGAAAAGCTAAATACAATGACCATTTGGAGAGACAAATATTGTACATTGCACATGTATACGTACACAGCATGTGATTTTAAGGAGGGGGGGGTCGTTTGCGATCAAAGCAGCCACACCCTGGCCGAACAAAACTACACCAGATACCGATGTTCGTCATTCGTTGTTTAGACCATCTCTAACCCGTAACCCTTACATGAATAGACCGTATAAGAATGCATTGCGTGCCGTGTCCCGTGGCACGACACACCTGGCTTAATTATACCTAGCAACGAACAATAACAATGGGAGGGGTGGGAAGTCATCCCGCCAGGGCCATGTCACTGTCCGCGCTGTCGTCTGCAGTGTGTTAGTAGTACTGTCTGTAGTTTTTAGGTCATTTGAGTTGTTGTCTGAACAAGCACCAAGGTGTTCGTGTTGTGTAGGAGGGGAGTGTTTACTCTGTGACATCACGTCGAAAGTTTAACACGCCGACTAAAGTACGCAGAACAGACTACGCAGTGTTGGGGGCTAGCTTCAATCTCAGTCGCTGAGTCGGTTATAATGTTTATGTTGAAGACAAGTACGAAGTGATGGGCTCTGCACCGACCAAGCCAGCCGGCGGGACGGACGACAGGGCGCCGGTAGTGTTGAGCGCCGCGCAGGCGTCCGTCAAGTGGAGGGGGAGGGCCGGAGTACAGGACGCCCAATCCAAGATGGCGGCCTCCACCACAACAAAACAACAGGTGAACGACCTTTTCAGGGTTTTAACACATGAAGCTTAGTCTGTTAGTCCGGATCAAGGTGGTTATAAACCATGTAATTATGTTTCCAAATGTTTCAAAAAGAGAGAAGAAAGGGCTACTAACAGTAGATGATAGGTAGTATATAGTATTGTTATAATGTATAAATTCCTAGCAATTAGCATTAGAATATAGCGTCCCAGTATGCAATACTCATGTTTTGCATACTGCATGTCCTCTTGTGCATTTAGCCCATCTTGGCAAGAACATGCAATAAAGATTCATATCATATCATATCATATCATATCATATAAACGTGAATATGAAAAGGAAACTGTTGGTAAACGGATTCTGATTTATTGCTTTATTGCAGGAGTAAAGAGACGCATAATTGTATAGTAAATTTCAATTGTTAACGATATAAAATACTAGTACGACGCTTACATTCTCTCAGGTTGGATCAATTAGGTCAGATTTAGAGAACATGCAAATCAAAATATTGAAGAAGGAATTCATTGCTGAACACGAGTAAAAAGACATATTGACCGTGGCAGTAATTATATAGTATAGTAACAATTGTATAATGACAAAATCAAATGTTTACACTGTAGTAAAGTAGTCGTCAATATAATTTCTAATCAATGTAAGCCTACGTCAAAATATATATTTTGCAAGCAGTCAGGGGAAAGTTAATAGAAGAATTTGCCCTCCGGTCCAAATCAGAAGAGTGTGTGACACTTGTAACATGCAAAAGGTGCTGTGTGTAGCTTTAACCTGTTTGCCATACGATATACTTTTTTTAAACTTCAGATTGCGGAGACAGACGACGAGAAACAGGCCCGCCTGTTAGAACAACACCCTGAGATGAAACCCATCCTCAGGATAATGGACAGGGGCGTGGCGCAGGTGAGGGAAAAGAAAGGCGACGAAGCCAGCATCGGCGACGTGTACGAACGAATCGACAACGACATCGACGATCCTTACTGGAACTACCAAGGAAAGATTCAAAGGCAAATCCAAGGTGAACACCTCACCAAGCTCGGAGCGGCTGGCGTCTTTACGGACTACCTCAAATTCCTCAAGTCCACCGGGAACATCTTTAGTGACGAGACCGTATGGGAGTGCTACTACGCCATTAGAAACTGTTGCTGGAGCTTTTCTGATGCGAGTTTCAACTTTGCAAAGAGACTGGGGAAGGCCGGACTGTTTCCGATGCTCATAGAGGAATTGAAGGAATACAAGAAATCGTTTGAGTCAAATGAGGTAGGTGTCGTTTTGTAAGTTTTATTGCAAATTCATGACCGAAGGCTAATTGCATGAACAGAAGAAACATTTGTATAAAAACAGATAATGAGTACACATAGAACTACTGATAACTATTAAGAAACTACTAGTAGAGAACTACTGGGTTTGACTTCTTTTTTGAAGACAAAGGAAGACAAAGGATCTCACTTTTTCTGTAATTTGTGGGTTTTCGGATGTTAAGAGGAGAGTAGTTTTCTTTTCATTTGTATATGCGTAAAAGTTTGGGTAGAATTTGGAGACTAAGTCAAAGAGTTCATTTCGTTCATTGCTATAGAGGGTACAATTTGAGATAAAATGCGTTCATGTGTTCAGCGTTGACTTGCTAGGAATAGTCTCCACCAGAAAAACTACGATGGCTGAAAGATACTAACATTTGGTCAAATAATTTGCCAGGGATTTGGCCATCATAGGATGCCATTTGCCCAGAACGCCTTTACATGAAGTCCCGGTGGAGGCTAAACTAACATTGGCAGAGAGAAAGAGGAAGAGAAAGGGAAAAAGTCGTTCTGTGGGTCGGATAGCAATAATTGTCATGGAACACAGGGTAGAAGTTTTGACAATTAATCCAAAGATTGAGAAAAATCTTGCACAGACATATGGATATGGTATCATTTGATTTGATTTTATTAGTTTGCACATAAACAAAACAGACAATTATACAAAACAAGGATAAAACAGGTGCAGGAGGAGGGGAGAAGCATGGAATGCTTGTACTAGGCCCTCCTCTAAACTATACAAAATCAAATATAATCAATAAATGAAAATAATACAATAGAAAATGGAAATAATACAATAAACATAATCAAATAAAGTACGGTATAAATCAATGACAATGAAATAAGTACAAATACAGTGCAATAATGATAATTAATTATTAGTATGAGTTAAAATAAGAGAAAAACACTAAATGAAACTACTACAGGGGGCTAGGTTCGTTTAGCAGATGTTTTTTCAGAGCTTGTTCTTTAGGGCTGGAGTTATAATATAGTTCATTCCATAAGGCTAGGTGACACCTTTGTATCTAACCGACATTTGGGCAAGAGAAGTTTTTACTAGGGGGATATGAAAATCGGAACGTTGGTGAGTTTGATAGTTGTGAATCATAACCGACATTGGCATGAATCAAGTGAACAAACCAAAGGCAGTGGTATATAGGCATAGTGTAGTATGTCTTTGTACCCAGGTTACTATTTACGTGAAGCACACAAACACATGATGGCTGCTATGTGCCTGTCTGAAGTTGTGAAGGGTTCGTGGGATGGATATTTACTCTTGTGTTGTCCAGCTCAAGTCAGAACTAGAGTCCACTTGATTAAAGAGTCTCATGTTCTTGTGATTGTTGTTGTACATAAGGTTAGCCTGGATCCAGCCTTGTCAGCTTTATTCCGCTCCTAAAGATCCACTACCCAACTTGTTGGGGGCTATAAAGTAATTTTACCACAGCAAGTAATTTTTATGGATGACATCAGCGCGCGCATTAATTCTCGCCTTTGGAAAAAAAACAAGAAATTTTATTGCCTTCTGACAGTGATCACCATGCCGAAAATGGGCAAAGATGTCTGTTGCCATGCCGGAAGGTGGATGGCAGATAACTATGAAGAGAGGAGACAAGAAATGTTTTGCTTCTTACTTTAATGTAGTGATAAGTGATGTTAGTTGTGTATAGGTGATGTTCCTACTGAATCAAAACCATGTGTACAATGATTGAGTCAAAATTTTAAAATGTAGGAACCTTGTTTTTTTCGGCCCGCCTTGTTTTTTTTTCGCTCGCTCACATTAGATTTGGAGTCTGCGGAGGATGTCATCCATAAAATTTACTTGCTGTGGCCTAACTAATAGCAAAACTGGACTACAGGCTAACATCAGATCTGCAAACAGGCAATTCTATATTTCACACAGTATGTCACATAATGGGAAGAACTATTGTATATATATTATAAAAGCTTGAACCAAAATTTTGATGGTTCAGTCACCTTCGAACACCTTGATTAAATAATTGTTTATTGCAAATTCTTGCCCAAGGGCTAATTGCAGGAACAGAAGAAACATTTGGTATAAAAACAGACAATTAGTACATATATAACTACTCATAACTACCAAGAAACTACTAGTAAAAACTACTGGGTTTGACTTCTTTTTTGAAGACAGAGGAAGACAAAGGATCCCACTTTTTCTGTAATTTGTGGGTTTTCGGATGTTAAGAGGAGAGTAGTTTTCTCTCCATTTGTATATGTGTGAAAGTTTGGGTAGAATTTGGAGGCTACGTAAAAGAGTTCATTTCGTTCATTGCTATAGAGGGTACAATTTGATATAAAATGCGTTTCGTCTTCCACCGTATTCAACGTACAATGTTTGCAAATTCGTTCATACACGTGGAGTTTCTTGTACCGCCCTCTCTCAATTTCGAGAGGGTGTGCACTAATTCGTAATTTACTTATTGCAGAGCGATTGTTAAAATCAGGTATTTTTCCATAGAATATGTTGTTTTACATTAAAAAAAGACTAGACTCAACGACAAAAATGCTTTGTAACAGCTGAAGTTCTGGAGTTCCGCGGAGCTTCGGCAGCCTGGGTGCCGTCCTCCGTGGTTACCTCCGGCTCCCTAATGTTGCTAGCTACCATAGACTACGAGGATGGCACCCAGGCCAGAGCGTCGAGCTCCTCAGAAGTGATATTTTTCTTTTGGAAAACAGGCGAAAATCAATGCGCGCGGATGTCATTCTACCCTGGAAGCCAGAACTCGTTTTCCGGGCCGCAAGAGCCCTTCTCCCGCTGGTGTAAATTACCGCTACGGGGGAGTCTAGCCCGGGGGGAGTTTGGCTGGCCCTACAAACGATAGTAATAGGGCCGGACAAACCCCTCGGGCTCAACTCCCCCGTAGCGGTAATTTAGATAGGCGGGGGAAGGGCTCTTGGCTGCCGAAGGAAAACGGCTAACGGCCCGATACTAGTTTTGGCATCCAGGGTAGAGCGTCCAGCTCCTCAGAAGTGATATTTTTCATTTGGAAAACAGGCGAAAATCAATGCGCGCGCGGATGTCATTCATAAAATCAAATCAGTGTGGCCTAAACAGAAAACATGCCTAATGGTTCCGTAGGCACAAAATTGGCTGGTGAGATGTTCGCTGGGAATCCTGCACAACTGCGCCAAGGTGCTGGAGAACAGAATCCTGCTCAGACAGCTGGGGCTGACCGACTACCTCCTACCCTGGGTCAGCACGTCAGACGAGGAGCTCAAGACCGTCACTGTCATGACTCTGGCGTACATCGTCGGTGAGGCACTCTTTTTTTATTCATCAAAACATCAAAACATAACAAGGACAGTGTGGCGCTGCACTCAAGTTTATAACTTATATCAACAGCGCTACATAACAAAATACAAGTAACATTTAAATACACAAAGTTGACAGGTATATCAGTGCGCCGTAGTCCCACCACCCCAAGACATTATTAAAGAAATGCTAACGCTAACACTTGTATGTTGATGAAAGACCATTCAAGCTGTAAGTCAGTACGTTACAGAAGTACAAACTGCAACTCTACTTTCAGTGCTCGAATATTGATGCAAACGCCATGCAATTCAGGGTATCACAACTTCACTATCACAATACATGGCGACGGCACGCTTTAACCTTTTCAAGTTATTTTTATGCCAACGCAGATAAACACACGGACACCAGACATACTGATTTTCACCTGAGTTAAGTGAGGAAATTCGTGTAAAGTGCACAGGATCGGTGGTATGATTCGAACTCGGGACCTCTTGGTTCCGAGCCCGAACGCTCTGTCGTTACGCCACACGACCCCGCATGTACTAGCTTGCAAGGTGGTATAATGGACAAGTGAAGTAACTACATTTATATAGTCTAATTAGTTAGAAAACATTAAAGATCTGAAGCGTCTGTTTATCATTGTCAGGTGAGGAGGACAATGACCTGATCATGGCGGACGACAGCGTGATCGGCTTCATCATGACGGTGTTTAAAGAGGCGGTGGACAGCGAGCTGATGCGGTCTCAGGGCTTCTCGGCCATGGAGATGGCCATGGGCATCAGTCAACTGGCACAGAACGACGACAATAAGGTCGGTGTCTGCTGACCGGTGCAATAGCTCAATTGGTAGAGTGCTCGCTTTGTAACCGGGAGGTCGTGAGTTCAAACCCCGGCCGGGTCATACCAAAGACTTTAAAAATGGTACACACTTCTTTCTCTGCTTAGCACTCAGCACATAGAGTGCTTTCACGGAGCCTTTCCCAAGGGCAGAGAAAGAGTGTGGGAAGGTCAAACACACAGCACTACCAGCGGACTAGCCCCCTGCTGTAGTGCCCTGCACAACTGTGTGTCGCCCAAGGGCTGAGAAATGGAGATGGGCACCACCCTACGCTCTGCTTAAGGGCATGGGAGACCTTTGCTTTTTCCTTTAATTCCTGATGGAATTTTGCAGCATGATTAACTCAGAGACCAATTTCAGCTACCTCAACACCACGTCGTCTCCTTGGAGAGTACATAGTCGAAGTGTATGTACAATTAGAGTCAATGTGAATGTACACTTAGAAAGCTGTCAATGGTAGGAATGGTGTCTTCTTTCACAAAAACGGAGCGTTGACAGCCTCTCTCGTCAATCAATCAATCAATCAATCAATCTTTATTGCGCAACAATTGCAATGGGTACAATGTATGGCAAGTGTTTAAATCAAAAGATAGCCCCCTTTTGTTGGCGAACTTTTTCATGAAAACGGAGTAAACTTGTCCTTTTTTAATATTCAGCATTTATTACAAAACATAGCGACGGCACACTCATTTTCTTCAACTTATTTCTATGCCGCCACTAACGCAGACAAACGCATAAACGAACAACCACAGACATACTCATTTTCACCTGAGTGAAGTGAGGAACTCGTGTAAAGTGCCTTTCCCAAGGGCACAAGATCGGTGGCAGGATTCGAACTGGGGACCTTTTGGTTCCAAGCCGAATGCTCTCTCGTTACGCCACACGAAACATGTCCTTACTGACAGCATCACCCCTGTTTCATTCCTCGCCAGGTTCTGATCGTGGAGAAGGGCGCCCTCCCGCTGCTGGTACAGCTGATGGAGACCGGGGATGAGGAGGAGCAGGAGCAGGGCGCCAAGGCCGTGTGGCAGCTCGCCTTCCACGACGACAACAAGGACAAGATCCGGACCGAGCCCAGGCTCATGCACCAGCTCAAACGGTCAGAATGATAATCTGTTATTTGCAAACTCATGCCGGAGGGCTAATATATTTTCTACATTTGTCACATGGACTCGAATCTACCCATAAGTCATTAATCTTCGTATATTTATTTGTTAGTCGATGACGGAGTTATACATACGAATGAACAAACGAATGGGTGTATTTTTCTTTTGACTGAACTTTCCATTGACGCGCGTTACAGGTTGAAAGACAGCAAGAACCCAGAGATTGCGAAGGCAGCTAACGGGGCTTTGTGGGTGCTGGATAAACAAGCAAGAGGTAAGAAACCTTTTCCTCTCCATCAACAAAATTTTTCCACTTATCAAAAGAGTTAGTACAAAATTTTCAAGGCTTTCTCGGCCAAGGACTTAAGAACAAACTGCACCTTGCATCTTCTACTGCCTCTACTGTCTATGATACATAATAATTAAACGAGCAAGATACCTAAACATCATTTTACTTGTTGTGCAGAGGAAAAGGCAAAAGAGCTGACAGAAAAGTCGGAAGAGTCCAGCCTAGAAGACTACCAAGAGGGTAGCGGGCCACACGTCATGATTAGCTACCAATGGGACCACCAGAAAACACTCGTCAAGGTTTGTACATGTGATATCAGGGAGTCTAAGTATCCTTCTATGTGCCGGTCTAAAGCCTTGTTAATGTGAAGTCACCCAAACCGCGATTCGGGTAACTGACATTCCTCGCATCTGGTCCACGTGCCACACGTTCCTTTTAAAACGTGCCCGATCACGATTCTCCGAAACTACATTCATTGTTGTTTCATGAAAACACGCTAGGTAGCGTGTTATTAATGTCAGAGGTCAACGACCTGCTTGCTGATGCCCCCCTCCCAGCGTATCTCGGTCGAATGCCGACGTGGTCCCGCCAGAGGCGGTGAAGCTCGTCCTAGAACGGACACATTATTTGACCATTACTGCTCTTTACGTTGCTGCCACGTAAAAGTTGGTATTGCATATAAATAAAGAAATATCACCCCGCAATCCATGACCAGGCGAAGTCACATTGAAATCAGATTGCGTTCAGACGCAAATCGCGATGCGGGAAAACCGATTCGAAACCACCTGTAGAAGTGGTTTGGGATCGAGGCGCTTTTGATGTGATTTGGAGCGTTCAGATTGAGCCACTTGAAACCGGCGTCGGGGTAAACCACATGTAAAGCGCCTTGGGTGACTTCACATGAACACGGCCTAAGCCTTACAGAACTGAATCGAGATCATTTTCATTGAAGAGCTTCCTGGGGGTTCGACAAGTGACCTTATTCACACGAGACTTTACGGATACCTGAAGTACGGAGACGGTGGACGATATAAACTATCTGGCACTTTTGATCAAGTCACGTATTCGTTAAGTCTCGTGTGAATAAGGTCACGTGTCTGTAACCTAAACTCTCGCGAGATTACGTTTTGAAGTATCCCGATTTAGGCGACAGTGGCCTTTGAAAATTTGATCTGTGCAATCCTTGTGTTGGAATTAAGTTCAACATTTTACTATGATTACTACCAGCACAGATGAACTTTCATGATAATTATGAACGTTTTGCGTAGGTGAAGGACCGTCTGCAGTCGTACGGGTACCGGGTGTGGATGGACCTGGAGCAGATGGGCGGCTCCACGCTGCAGGCCATGGCGGAGGCGGTGGAGAACTCCGCAGTCGTGCTCATCTGCATGTCTCAGAAGTACAAGGAGAGTCCCAACTGTAGAACAGGTGGGTTGTTCTGGTTTAAACTGTTACTGAATGAATATCAACTAAAAGGGATGCTTCCAATGTATTGCATACCGTTACAATGAATACTATACCATGCTAATACCGGGTTAATGCCCTGCCCCGAGGTATATATGGTGAGATAATACCTGGTCAGATGCGATAACCACCGACTAAACCACCGAGTGAGCGTAGAACCGATGGGAAATGGAGGCTTCTCATTGGTTGACGTCGCCTGGCTATATCATATAATAGCATTTAACGTCTTTGAGGGTTGGTAAAACATATTAGTCCTGACAACAAAATGGAGGACATATTTTTGACATCCCTCAGCAAGGACACTAAAGCGCACTCTATAGTTATAAGCATGAGTCGCTGTCTTAATTATCGTTGTTTCTTTTTCTACTTGTCGAACAGAGGCGGAGTATACCTTTCAGCTCCGTAAGCAGATCGTTCCTCTGATGATGGAAGGGAAATACAAGCCGGACGGCTGGCTGGGCGCCATCTTGGGAGCCAAGCTGTACTTCGACTTCAGCGCCCAACACAAGTTTGAAGACTCTATAGGAAAACTCATCAAGGAGCTAGGTAACGTTTTGTTTAAAGTTAAAACTTTTGGTACAACACAAAAAATTCTCTCACCTAGAGCTTTCGACCAGTCACTCTGGTCTTCCTCAATAGACTGACCCAGTGAAGCTTGTCACGTGGCTTCTTTGAAGTGTGACGTCAACACTGGTATCTGGTAGACGATGTCGGCCCCCGTCGCGGTTCAATGTAGGGTGATGGGCCCTGATGTATATGGCTTCCTTCACCCCTCTCAAGAAATAGTCTTGTTCAGTGTCTAAAATCCTTACAGTGTCAAGTGAAACAAAATGTCCGGGTGACTCTTTGTGAATGTGTTGAGACACCTCTGAACTGGCAGAGTTAGGCCGTGTATTTTCTTGAAACCTGGCTTCACTGGGTCAGTCTACTGAGGAAGACCAGAGTGACTGGTCGAAAGCTCTAGGTGAGAGAATTTTTTTGTGTTGGACCAAAAGTTTTAACTTTAAACATGAAACTACCAACACAGATGAACTTTTATGATAGGTAACGTTTTATTTGCATTCTACAACTACTGCTTTAACTATATCACAAAATTTTCATCTGTGTTGTTACATGTTACATGTTTAAAGGTAAAACTTTTGTTCCAACAGAAAGAAATGCTCTCACGTAGAGCTTTCGACCAGTCACTCTGGTCTTCCTCAATAGACTGACCCAGCGAGACTTGTCACGTGGCTTCTCTACTGCTTTACATCTCAGCCACACCAATTTGATTTTTTTGGTTCTCGGATTTTTTCAGAAAAAAAAATATATGAAGCGACAGGGCGAAAAAACAAAGCCAGTTCTATAATAATAGGACTTATTGGAGTCTTGAAGTCTACATACCAGGCTGGTTTGTAATTCAAACAAGTTCAAAGTTTTAATCAAAGCACTGCATCTATAGATAGAAAAACTGTAACAACTCTGAAGAGGAGGGACTTCCTTCAACTGTTGGGGACAAAATACGAGCATTTTAGAGTTGATTCAGAGCCTTGAATGTTTTTAAATCGGAAAAGAAAGAAGCGGGTGAATCCGAGAACCAACAAATTAAATTGGTGTGGCCTTATAAACGATATACATGAGCCTTCGGTTCCCTGTCACGCGCTAGTAAACTTTCTGTTCTAATTTTCAGGACAGAGAGGCAGAACAGCCCAGCTGGTGCAAAAAGTGGACGCGATGGAGGTGGGAGCGGGAGGGGCAGGAGCATTACCCATCATGCCCCCTGCTAAACCCCGCGTGTTGGACTGGAAACAGGCGGATGTGGACAACTGGATAACGGAGAACCAACTAGACAAGTACAGACTTCTACAGAACAACTCTAAACTTTATGAAATAAAGACTAAGCTTTCCTTCAAACACTGGAATGAATTGGGACTTACCCAAATTTTCGGCTGACTCCTTCAACCTTGTTCACGGAATGGACCCGTCTACTCTTTAGAACCTGACTTCAGAGACAATCTGGCACGTATAACTACGTATGACACACTTATTTCTGTGCCGGATGATGGCAAAGCCAGCAACATGAAGAACCATAGCTTTACACAGGACCCATCTTCCTTCCCACATGTAATGCCGTCATAACTTGTCTTTTTTTCTTTTTATTCCAACGTGTAATCACCAGACGTGGTGACGACACACTCAAGTTTCTTCAACTTATATTAATGCCGCCACCAACACAGGGGACAAATACATTACAGGGCAATACTCATTTACACCTGAGCTAAGTGAGGAAAGTCGTGTCAAGTGCCTTTCCCAGTGAGACAGGGCAAGGCAAGTCCCAAGGGCATGTCAGGACTCGAACCCGGGACTCTTAGTTCAGAGTCGCGCACTCTGCCGCTACGCCACACGACCCCACATTAACTTGTCTTTAATTATTTGTCTGACAGGAACGTCCTACGAGAGCTGACAGGACCACAGCTACACTTCCTACAGTCACTAAGAGGAGAGGTGAGTTTCCAAAGGTTATTGCGCTGTTCCAATGAGCTGACTTTCGTTCTCGATACCAGTTTGAGTAGATTATAACACGTTATAGCATATTATAACAGCCTTTTTTTATATTCCAACACTTCATGAGTAGACATGTTGACGGCACACTCAAGTTATATCAACTTACTTTACACCGCCACCAACACAGAGGACAAAAACAGGACAGGACAATACTCATTATTAGATAAGTGAGGAAAGTCAAGAGTCAAGTGCCTTTGTCAATTAGGGCACAAGATCGGTGACATGTCAGGACTCGAACCAGGGACCTCTGTTCCGAGTCGAGAGTGCTCGGTTCCGAGTCGAGCACGTCACACGACATAACAGCCATTCAAGTGCCTAAACCATGCGTACATTAGAGATAGAGAGAGAAATATCTAAGAAACTTCCTGTAAGTGAAATATTCTGTAAATACTGTACAGAGGGAGCAGTGGAAGATGAAATGCATTTTATCTGTCAGTGTCCTCATTACGATTTTGAAAGAAAAACGTTATTCAAAGTTTTTCATATCTCAACCAACAACAAAAGACTATATTATTGCTAAAGTCTCCCAACCCATTTATTTTTCAAAGAGTCGGACAATTCATCTCCCACTGCCTCCTGAGAAGAAGTCAAACCCCATAATAGCATGACAAGAATAGTTTGATAGAATAGAATATATTAGAATAGCAGTTACCTTGTTCCTATTACCTGGTCACATATTGCATATTTACTTATTATCCTGTATGTATACCAACGTTATTAGATTTAAGTATAGAGATAGTAGGTTCGATAAGTATATCGTACACGTAGAAGTTCATGTTAGCAAATAGTCTTATATCACCACATTTTTCTTGTCAATGTCTGTATGCAATTAGCCCTCGGGCATGAATTTGCAATAAACAACTCCACTATAATATTCTCCAGGCCCCGGAGTTCTTCTACCAGTTCATCACCAACAGACTGCGGCTCACAAGTCTGGACCAGATCATGAGATTCACGAGCGCGCTGAACGGTCTGGACGACTGAATCAAACACAGTGTGCCTTACGTACAGTTCTCATCTCAGGGGCGAAATATCAAAAAGGAGAATCCCAAAGTAGGGAGGAATGCAATATTTTTGCAAAGTAAACCTAGGTTTGCACTGTGTACATAGTTTGAATTAAATGCATCTACTGTACTTGGTGACAGCGAGTTCCACTCTGCGATAGTTCTAGGAAAGAATGAGTTTTTGCACACCTCAATCCTTGGTTGATAACTCTGGTACTTTAAGGTTAAGGCATGACGATTTTTTGTTCTTTTCTGAGCTGGTATTAGGTACTTAGAAGTTGGTACATCTACCAGTTTATTAGCCTCTCATTACACTTCCAAAGTGATTTCTGATTGTGCAGTATCGCCAAAGCGAATGTGTGTTCCACAGCTGCAGTAGTATCTTGCAGGTCACTGTAGTGTGTGTTGAAGAAGAACACTATAAAGTTTATGTAAAGTCGTGATTTAAGTTGTAAAGAAGTAAAGAAATTTAAATTGTAGTATCGTTTGGTTCTTTTCATTTTATCAAGTAAAATTGGTGTATCACAATCTTAAGAATATTTTGTATACAAACTAGTTTGGAAATAAATGCTTTGAAATCATGCCTGTGTGTTGTCTATCTTGAATGGTCATTTTTGCTATTGGCGGTTTAGTCTAACGGTGATTTAAAAGCGACGCCTGTTAGCAAACCAAGCAATTGCAGTTATGCACCACCCCGTGTTGAGACTATTACAAATAAACGATATAAACCCCAGGTGTGCTTTGCTACATCAGATGGGTACCAATCTACTTGATTTCCTTTCAAGGTATTCACCAGTTTCCCATCCCCAAAATGCAATGCGAAAATAGGGGGTAACCCTCATTTGCATAGGACTGGAAGGCATCGGAATGATCCTGTTGACGTTAAACAGCTTGCTTTTCACTGTTTTTGAGGTGTTGGGGCATTTTATGCTCAACATTAATTAAATTACTAAGGGCCGAATCTGACAACAAATAGAGAATAAAGTTTTAGTGTTCTTTCCAACATGAAACATGTGGTTTGTAACGTTACAGCATGAGTATATTCCAAAAAAATATTTCTCTTATTTGTTGTCAGATTCGGCCCATAGTAATTTAATTAATGTTGAGCATAAGATGCACCGACACCTCAAAACACAGTGAAAAGCAAGCTGTTTAACGTCAACAGGATCATTCCGATGCCTTCCAGTCCTATGCAAATGAGGGTTACCCCCCCCCTCTATTTTCGCATTGCATTCTGGGGATGGGAAACTGGTGAATTGTGAAGCCGGACTTTGCATACATCTGCTTGGTAAATCATTCACCAAATAAGAAGCCATAACCGCCATTTTGGAAACGTCACGGTTTGACTGCCGCGGTGTATTCTGGTCGACCTGTCAGGTGCTAGGTCACATTTTAGGACCTTTAAACATTCGGCAGGAGCTAAAAATACCTCGTCGACGCATTTAAGATATCTAACTCAACAGTGATTAGTAGGGTCCCTATAACCTCCTTGGTATATGTAAGTATGGCACTGTTGCGGTTCATGTCATAACTTAATATCTAAAGTTAGTGTACAATATTACCATATTGGTTGTGATGATGTTTTGATGGACCTTGACCAGCTAAACAACGGTGGGTCTAAGACAGCCTCCATTTTTTTAGCTTAAAGGTGTTGTTGCAGAAAGACGACACTGTTAACGTTGTTTCATATCGCAATCTAATAGAACATTGTATCAAAGAAATCATCGCAAAATGTGTCAGTTTCCATTCCTCCAAGGTTTTGAATTGTCGGGAAAAACGTATAATGTGTATAATCATAGCTTTTGTTGCATAATGTGACTGTCTATTTTATTAGCTTCAGGGTTTTCACTGGGCAACGACCAATGATGACGCATGTCCTCATCTTGCTGGCTGCTTTGATGACTGTGTCTTCTGCATGTCCGTCAGTCTGCAGGTATGTATCTGATAATGTTTATGAAGTTAAACTGTTCTCCAACTCAAAATTTGACTCACCAGAAATTTTCGACTGAATCACTCAGTCTTCCTCAGCTATCTGACCCAAATGCTGTGGACACGTGATGTTTCCCACGTGTGACGTCAGCAAAGGGCCAAAGGAGCACGTCGGCAGAACGCACTGCGCCTGCGCAAAACCCTGTTTTTTCAGGGGATTTTTGGTCAACGTTGCATTAGAATTTTGTCTGTTGCAGAGGATATCTTTTACAACATAACATTTGGAAACTACAGACGAAATGTTTTCCTTATATGCGCGAATACGACCTTTTATATCATACCCGGGCCGCGATAACGTTCGATAACGGGT